GGGAGGCAGAGGCAGGTGGATATTTGTGAGTTTGAGGCCAGCCTGGTCTTCAGAGCCAAGGACAGGACAGCCAAGGCTACACAGTGAAACCCTGTCTCAGACAAAGAAGAAGAAAAAGAACAAGAGGAAGAGGAAGAGAAAGAAGAAGAGGAGGAGGAGGAGGAAGAAGAAAAAGAAAAGTATCCCACTCTGGTCTTGAACTTGCAATACTCTGGCCTTAGCCTCCAGAAAAGCTAGGATTTCAGGCCCAGCAAAGACTTTTAAATATGGGGTTTCTTGCCCTGCCATTTTCTGTTTCACCCAACTAGCTCTCCTCCTCCTTCCTCTTCTCCTTCCTCTCTTTCTGTTTTTGTCTGTTTCATTTGCCATCCTGCCCTTTACTGCTGAGAAGCTGAGTATTGACAGTGTGATGTGTTCCACCGGGCCCACTGGCTTAGCAAGCCCTGAATGTTCCTCACTTTCCTCTCTGGGTCAGAGAGGAGCCTAATCCTACCCGAAGAGCCTGGACCCTAAATGTGAAGTGAAATTGGGGAATGGGAACCTAGTGTTGCCTCTTAAGCTGGAGCCTTAGTGTGAAGTGATGCTCTGCCCACACCTTTCCCCAGGGACTAAACCTGTAATCTTATACCTGAGGCACTAGGTGTGTCACAGTATCTGAGATCTAATGTGTGTGTGTGCTATGGAAGTGCACACGCTTGTCAGGTCAGAAGCTGCTGATATCCAAGGATCTTCCTCTACTAGTTTTCACCTACGTTTCTGAGACAGTGTCTCTCACTGAACCTGGAGCTAGGCTCTGATTCAGCCAGACAGGCTACCTCGGATGCCCTGGGACCCACCAGGGTCATAGCTGTGTGCCACTGTGCTCTGCTTTTTATGAGGGTTCTGGGTCTCCTCAAGCCTTTGTAATAGCACCTGACTGAGCTGCCACCCCAGTCCTCTGATAGCTTTTGAAGCTGACTCTCAACCTAGGCTCTTGGGCTTTGCTCCTCTTGCTCCATATCCAGAGATAACAGTTCCAGCCTGCTGGGACAGGTCTGTTCTGCAAGCCAGAGGCTCCCTGGCAGTCCTCAGTCCTGCCTGGAATCCACGTTGGCCAGGCGCATCAGCTGCTTCTGGCCAGCCTGCCCTACCAGCAGAGGCTGCCTCCCTCCTCTTCACTCCGACCAAACCTACATATAACATTTTAGGAAGGTTTAGGGAGTTGAAACAGCCAAATTAGATTTTCAAAATCTGTTGCCCTTACCTAAAATGCTGAATTTTACTTTGTTTTTCCTTGACTAAGGAGAAATTTTGTAGTGCGTGTTCCCCCCAAGATCGCGGTGTTTGTAATTGCTCAGTCTGCTTTCTTTTTGCACAGTGTTAGTTATTGGTGTATGTTTTCCCCACTCTTTTGCTTACTTAGTCTTCTAGTTTTTAGACCCAATGTCCCTGAACTTCTGTCACTTAAGAGGCAGATAAATTTAGCTTATTTTTATTTATTATGAGTGCTGAAATGTCAGTACCTACTCTTGCTGTCCTGTGGCTTGCTTTGGACTCTTTCTCTAGAGTCACTGTTTTTCTGTCTTATGTTCTGGAGATTACACTTGCCATTTCCATCCTGGCCCATTTCTCCCTAGTGCCAAGAAACTCACAGTTCAAGGCCTTAGATAAATAAAGTGAATCTCCAAGTAATGGAAGTGCACTGAGCTTGTTTCTAGAGCATGTGAGGAAGCTTCATGCTGTAAGAAAACATTTTGAGGGGAAGTTCAAACTGCTCCCTCCGAAAGATTAAGAAAACCCTGGATTCCTTCGCCAGAGAAACTGCAGGGTCTGCCTGCTAGAAAGCCTCCAGAGTATGCTCTGGGGAAGGCTGGAGTGTGAGGGCAGGTGTCAGGCTCTAGAAAGCACCTCTGCCCAGCCTTGTTTGTTTGTTTGTTTGTTTGAGCCCATGCAAGCCACCTGCCTCATCTCTGTGATGTCTGCTGCTGGCACTCTTGGCTTGAGAAGCAGAGGAGGAGAGATAAAGGCTTTGAGAGGGAGCAAGGAGGTGGACTGATGCTTATCATGGCTGCTGAGCTCTGGACAACATCATAGGTGGTTGGATGTGCCCTTTCTCGACAATTACCATAGCTGGCGCAGGCTGTCTGCTGAGGGGTACTGACCGCCAGGCCATGCTGTCACTATAAACAGTGAGCAGGGTATGTTTTCCAGGAACCAGACACTGAAAATTAGCCTATTACATGTACTTCATGAAATTAAGCAGAGAACTGTGGGTTGATTGTGACAGCAGTTTAAGATCACACAGTAGCAGTTAAATGTCAAATTGGGCAAATAGTAGCCTTGAGCCCGGGAACCTATACAGCAGGGCAGAGTTTGTTATGGAACAATGGTTAGAAGTATGACAATGTCCCAATTCCCCCAGAGTGTCAACAGACCCAGAGAGTCACAAAAGGAGCTTTGAGCAGAGGCTGGCATCTGTCAGGATGTGCTGGCTCCTAGCACAGATGTGATGTTCTCCCTGGAGATGAAGGACTTGCTCTGGCTTGGTTTGGGTATAAGGGCTACTGAGGTATCCAGGCCAGTGACTGAGGGATGTGGCTATCACCAGTTAATTAGCTGCTCCCACTAGAAGCTGTTGAGGTTTGGGAAAAAATGGTAGCAATGGGGAATTCTGGGATAGACATGCTCTAGAGCCATCTGATTGGAGGTAGGGATACTTGGTCTGTGACGGGGCTCACTGTGAGGGGAACCTGGAGTAGAAAGATCTTCACCCAAGTGAGGGACCTCAGGACTATCAACAACTACATCACCAACATCCCGATGCACAGCTTCCAGAGCAAGCATCGTGGGCTGCGTGGAACAGGGGGTGATGGCAGGAACCCAGTGTGTGGCTGTAACATTCTGGCAGTTTTTGTCACCGATGTCAGAATGACTGGCCATGGATAAGCCAATCAGAAAACACTATTGATGGGTCAAGGAGGCTATAAGGAAAATGGTGCTGGGCCACGTTTCTAGGGGAGAGGGATGGATCAGTGGGGTTAGTGGAAGAAAGGTGACAGCAGGGCTATGGACATACATGTTCAGCTTTAAGGATTCAGTGAGCTGAAACTGGCCCTTGCTTATAGAGCTGTTAGGCAATTTAATTCCAAAATCATCCCTGTCAGGTAGGTAATATTGTCTCATCTTGCAAACAAAACCAAAGTTGAAAGAAGAGAAAGTGAGTGTCCCAAGTCATACAATTAGCATGCTAGATGGAATTCAGATCCATTTCAGATCTGCTTGACTCCAGAGTTCCCACCTGCCCCGCTGAACTCGGAACAACATCTTCCTTTGTCATTAAGCTGAGGGACTGAATGAGACCAGGATTTCCCAATCTGGACTGGAACCACCTTCATCCTGTTAATTGTAGTTTGGCCCATGTTCATGAGTTTTGTCCTACCTAGTTTCCATTTGTGCTGTGGCCATCTTCCTAACTCAGTTTTATTTATTTGTATACTTATCTTTATGGTAAAATTTGCACAACATAAAGACCACCACCGTAGCCATTATTAAAGTATATAGTTCAGTGAATTGAGCTCATTCACATTACTATGCAAGACTTGCTTTTACTTTGAATGCAAACATATTTTGGAAAGGTAAGATAATATAACTACCACAGAATAGAAACCAGGATTACTCTCCATAAATGGAGGTAACCATTGGAATGCTTGACGTGCAGGTACCAAGCCATTAACTGTAGCCGACGCCTTCGTCACCGCAGGCTGTGACATGGAGACTACCCTCAGCGCCATCTCCATTAAAACAAGTGTTGGGGACATGGAAAAGATACAAACAAAGCAGACCAACACCTCTGACCTTCTCAGAAGACCTAACACAGGCTGAGGAGTCATTTTCTCACTTTGACCTTGACATTCTCCTGCACCCAGGTCCACATCTTGCTCACACGAACGACTTGCCTTTCCCATGCCGTGGGAACCACGGAGACGTGCTCAGTCTCCTGCCCCACCAAGGCTCTGCGGTCTGAGCCTGAAAGAGGTGGCCCTTTCCAGCGTGGAGCACTGATAGAGAACACGGCTTGGGATATGCTCTTTGTCATCTCTTCTGTACCCTTCCCCCAAGAAGTACAGAGGCTATCCTGCGCTAACTGCAGGGTTAGCTCCAGAATGCTCTCCAAAAACAAAATCCAGGAATATTCATGTGTACAAGGACACATTTATTCACACGTAACCTTTACAGAGCCTCCCATAAACCTGAAATCATCTCCAGGTTGCTTATAATAGCTGCTGCAACCGAAATGAAAATAGTTATTACACAGTATTGTCTAGCAGTTAATGGCAAGAAAGGGAAGTCTGGCCATGTTCAGTATGGATATAATCTAACATATTGCTAATCCGTGGACGGTCAGTGCAGGGGTACAAAGGTCGTGGTTACAGGGTTCTGGCTTTACCTCTCTCAAGGATTAGGTTGCCCAAACCCTGCAGGCACAGCCCTCTTGGCAGGCACTCTGCAGGACACTCTGTTTTGGTGTCTACACGGTACAGCTGTGATGAGGCCATGCACGTCAGATGGAGCTACTTGTTGGTCTGAGGGAGTGAACTTAGTCCTGCCTGGGTGGAAGGGAAGGCATTTTGAGCACACTCTAGATAGGGAGGTCCCCAGTAGCACAGGAAGATTCCCCTGTGGAGGCAGAGACATCAGAGAGCCTCACGGTATAACTTCCCTGTAACGCTAGATTGACCAGGAACCCATTTTCTTGGACAATGGGAACGAAACGTGTGCACACATGTCTTTGCTAGACACTCTAAGGAACTGAGCAGAGAGCATGAGAGTTGCTGCTTCTTAAGACAGGTGGGGGGTACTCTACCAACGTTAAAAGGGAGCATTTTCATTTCAGAAGTGGGTATTGGAACACACATGGAGTTCAGGACCAGACTTGGGTGCTGGCAAGCCAACCCCACACTGAACATGCCCTCTCTTGTCCCAGCATAACACCCATGGGACACGGGACCTTTGAGCCTTACCTGGGGCTTGCTCTCATCTTTGTCTTTGTAGTAGAAGAGTTGATCCCCACGTAGCACAAACCATCGCTGCTGCCAGTTCTTCATGATGCTCCTTTGTTTCTTTAGCCAGCCAGCCTTGAGTATAGGGCCTAGCTTGTGGGGGACCAGGGGCCTCCCTGGGCTCCGGCTCTGTTCCCCCATCACCAGGCTCTTGGAGCGAGCTGGAAGAAAAGAATGCACAGTGAGTGTGGAGACTGAGGTCAGTTCTCACCCCATCCTGGGACCCAGGCTGGTAGAACAAGTTGGATTTACTTTTCTCTTGGGTTTCCAGGGCATATGCTCAGAAACAGCTCAGGTTTATACACTTGGGAGGAATATAGCCTTCCTTCATTAGTTTTTGCCCTGTCCCTGGGACCCAAGATTCTCTGCTTCCCCAGATTTATTCCTTATGGATAAATCCCTTTCAGGGACTATAATTCCTTATGCCTGGTTTACCACTCTCCTACAAGCTCAGACTGGTTATTTTTTTGTTTGTTTGTTTGTTTGTTTTTCATTTCTCCCCCTTGGCTGCTGGTGAATTCCTACTCTATCTTTAAGGCTCAATTCAAAAGCCCCACTTCTTGGCCATTGGTACTGATCTCGCCAGCCTTGTCTCAGCAGTGTTGGCTTAGTGAGGAATGGTGTTGTCTCCATGCTCGCCTCCTACACTAAGGGAGGATAATGCGATTCCAGACAATGAGTTTCTCCAGAGAAACTGAAGAGACACATGAGGAGCTCTTGGGGGCAGCACAGCCTCGCTCCTTTTCCAGCACACAGCCGCCCACCTCCCAGAGCACCAGCACAGAGCTGAACATGTTGTGTTTGCATTTCAGATGGATCTGCTTTCTTGCTCCCATCTGGCTGCTGGGTCTGCCCCCCTCCCCCAGTGCTGCTCTATGCAGAATCAACACATTCCCGGATTACAGGTCAAAGACACTAATCGGTCTGGTATGGTTTTGCCTTTCCTGAACATAATGTTTCTGTGAAAACCATCATCTGTGGACTTACAGAACACCTTACCCACCCTCATGGTATTCCACACAAGCATTGCTTCTGACCAAGGAACTCAAGCCACATCAGCTCCACTGGCCTTACCATGTCCCATCCTGAGGCAGCAGGCCCGAAAGAAGATGGAATGGCCTTTTGGAGACATGGTTACAGCTAGTTACAGCACCAATTAGGTAGAGCAGCCTAAGGCAGGGTTCTCCAGAAGGCAGTATATGCTTTGAATCAGCATCTAATATACGGTGTGGATTCTCCCATACCCAGAGTCCATACACCTGGGTCAGGAATCAAGGGGTGAAAAGGGAATAGTTCTACTCACTAACCACCCTAGTGACTCACTAGGAAAATTTCTGCTTCCTGTTCCTGCAACTTGAGTTCTGCTGGCTTAGAAGTTTCCCATCCAGAGCAGGGAAGGGCCACACAAAACATTCCATTGAACTGAAAGCTCAAACTTCCCTATGGTTACTTTGGGATTCTGATGTCCTTAAGCCAACAGGCTAATAAAGGAATAGCAGTGTTAGGAGGGGTGATTGATCCAGATTACCAGGGGGAAATTGGACAGGCGATAAGAAAGATTGTATCTGGAGTATATCAGATCCTTTAGGGCATCTCTTGGTGCTTCCATGTCTTGTGGCTAAAGTCAATGGGAAACTACAACAGCCTAATCCAGGCAAGATGACAAATGGCACAGACCCGTCAGGAATGAAGGTTTGGTCACTCCTCCAGGAAAGGAGCCAAGACATGCTTGGTTCTTGCTGAGAGTGATGAAATTATTGGATGGGTCGTAGAGGAAGGTGGGTATAAATACTATGTGGCCAGTTACATAAATAAGGATCATAACTAAGATGAATATTTCTGTCATACTTTGTTAAGAACGTGTTTGTACAAATACTTGTTTTCTTTCCTTGATTTTTTATCATGTAATGTAACATCAACAAAGAGAATATCAGTTGTTATCATATTGAAGTTTGATACAATAAAAGAATGTCCCTCAAAGGACATTGACACCTATTCTAAATTTATAATGAATTTGCAGTTGTACGAGGTGTAGTTCTATCATGAAGGGTATAATTATGACCTGGTTAAATATATAATTCATTTGCAGTTGTATGTGGGATAATTATATCATGTTTAGGTATTATTATGACCTGTTTATTGTTTCCATTTGGAAATTAATCATGTCAGAAGGAGATATGATTGTTTATCAGGTTGACAAGGGTGGGCTTGTGATGGCTGTTCTTGTTTGTTAACTTGACCATATCTGGAATTAACTAAAACCCCAAATGGCACATCTGTGAGGGATTTTATTCTTAATGAAATCATCTGAGGTGGGAAGATAACCTTTAATCCAGACCCTCTGAGCCACCTTTGGACATGGGTCACAGCTTCTGCTGTGAGACTACATCAAGGACATGCAAGAAAGACGCCTGCTTGCTCCTGGCCTGCTTGCTCCCACAACCACCGGTGCTGCCAATCACACTTTGAGGATTCACACTCCAGAACCTAGTAGGTGCAAAATGCTAGTAATTATTCTCTTTTGCTGGGTGGTTTAGCCAAGCGGAACTGCCTGCGAGAGTTTTCCTCACAGTAAGGAGCACCTGCTCATTCCCTCTGCCCACCTAACTCATCACTCTTGATGGGGGAACGGCCACCGTCCTGAAGTCTTAGCTTCCTAGGTCTCTTTTTTTGTTCACATGAGCTTCAATCTTCCCATAAAGTCCTCTTATGGCCCTGGAAAGGCTGCCCTTCTTTTTCCTGGCATCTTATGAACCTTGTCTGAGGTCCATGCTTTACTAGTTTAGTGGTCCTGCCTTGGAAGACAAAGATCTGCAAGAATTTTTTTTTTGTCTAATTGGGGCTGGGCTGAACCCCTGATGAGGCAGAGAGAGATTGTGCCTGGTTGAACTGTATCAACTATTAGGAGGGACCCTTCTGTTCTCATGGTTATCCTCTTCCCTGACCTTATGAAAGCTCAAGCTGACCAGGCATAGACACTGGCTGATGTAGTGCTGAGGAGGTAAAGATGATGGCCATGATGAAAAGAAAGCAAACATGACCCAAGTATTCTGGTAAGATCTGAAAAAGGACCGAGGAGGAAATAGGACATGGGAGTCCCTCTGGTTACTGAGTTTTCTTTTCTGGGTTTCAATTTGCTGATCCTCCCTAAACATTTTTCAGCAAGTTCAATAAAATTAAGTCCTCAAATACATGGATTTTGTGTTTTGATTGCCTGACTTCTAACTAAAGACTTGGCAGGCAGGGGTAGCCCTGTGAGTAAGGATTCTATGGTATGGGTAGGTTGGCTTGGTAGACACTGTCCATTCTTAAATTCTTCTTTTCAGGTAATCTTCAAGGGGCACTTAGGACCTTTCCATACTTCCATAGAAGATGGTATAGATCCCTCTGGAGTCTTCAGTGAGGAATGAAGCGATAGAATGTCTTGGGGCTGCATTCAGTTACAACAGAATCTGATGCTTTTGTATTCAGTTACAACAGAATCTGATGCTTGCCCATTCCACCACACACACACACACACACACACACACACACACACACACACACACAGACACCTTCTCTTCCTCCCTCTACCATACTGAGCAGGGCAGCTCGCAGCAGGAACTCAGCAGTCTTAGGGGCTAATCAGCATACACTGGGTGAGGCCTACAGATGCCAGATGGCTTTTCTAGGGAGGCTGAGCTTCCCAGGCACAGGCCCATGGATGCTAAGCCTGGTACCACGGACAATAAGTGACTGTGTGGCTGACCATGCAGGCTATTGGCATACATGTCCCTTGACACGTCAACACAAAGAAGGGGGAGATTTTCACCCTGATGGTCAAGCTGTGGACAGCAGTCCTCTTAAGAGCTACAGGTAATGGAAACCAGGGCCCACTAAAGCTACACTCCAGGGGGGGGGGGAACAACTCTAATGTCCTGCAGTTCCCTAAAAGGGTTCTTCTTGCACAGGCCATGTTGACGACCAAAGCAGCACTGGTTTCTCCCTAGATGATCAATCACATAGGCATTACCTATGAGATCCAAGGAGTTTCTCACGAGGAAAACAGCTACGGGTATGATTTCTTAACCATCACTGTTCCTGTCCTCTGCTCTTCCTTTAATCAACTTATTCAGTTCTGTAAATATTTAAACGAGGCCTAAATCAGGCAGCGTTGACAAGCTAAGGCTTCAGAACTTACTGAACGTGGTGAGCAGGCCTGCAGCAAGCTAGGCCTGGGGAGGATGGTAACCTTTACCCCCTTAAAGTTAGGGGATCTCATAACAGGATGTCACCTCCTTCCTCTCTTCCCCCGTTGACTTCTGTCTACCCTCCATCATAAACAAATAGAGCCTCGACAAGCACAATGCAGAATTCTGAGCTGATGGTCTCCCTCGGAGTCCTCAACAGTTAAATGGAAAGAAAACTAAACAACAGTGTAGACTACTGGGCTGCAGACATTGACAGAGCCTCCAGGAAAATCTCTACAGAGCTACCAGGCCAGGCTTTGGAGGGTGACCAGGGCAGGCTGAGCTCTTGATTTGAAGATCAGCACAGGCGTGGCATTGCTGTCCCTTTAGCTCACCTCACCGCGTGCTGCCGGTGTCTGCTGTCACCACCTCTTCCGAGACAGCCCTTGCGACTGTCTCATCCCCACCACACTCCACACTGGAAGGCTTTGGCCTCTCCCAACATTGCTCTCATCAGACCCCAAAGGATGATTCCAGCCTCTGTCCCCTTGGTGATGGGATAACATCGCCACCCCTCCCAGCAGCTTGTCTTTTCTCCACTCTGAAGCATCTTCCTGCTCACTTATGTACGCAAGTCTCATCAACCGCTACTGGCTGTGACTTCCTCTGTGCTCCCCTGGAGTCCCCTCACTGACTTCTCACTGATGCCAGCTTGTCCCAGCTTCCCTGTCTCCCATTATGAGTCCTTTACTTATGAACGTTAGACTTTTGTGTTAAGCTGTCTACAGGTGCTCCACAGAAGCTCTCAGGCCTTTTTGGCCCAAGTGTGAAACTACTTAAACCTGCAGAGCCTCCTCACTCTTCTAGGACTCCACAGCTAGCTAAGGTCATACATTGAGGTGCTGTGGCAATGTTCCCCCTCAACCCTGCTGGGTAATTAATTTCTAAACTCAGCTGTTCCCTGTGCTCTCCTTTCCTTCATTCTCTGTAAC